GGTGGAAGACAGCAGCAAATTGGCGTGTGATTAAATATGTATCCCAACACACACACAATTGAAATAATTATAATATATATGAAGACACAAATAAAAACCATTTTATATTAAATGTAGAAACATTAAACCATTTCTTATTGGGGTTGACAACTTTCGAATTTTTAAAAAATTCCTCTATCTGATGCATATTATGAGTGCAACTGATAATGTTTTAGACACTAGTATACAATCCAATGAATTATTTGGAATTGTTATATATTACCATCCTCATCATTGAAGGACACCCAGTGCCAACTTCAAAAATGAAGGGTATCATCATTTTGATCCAGATAAAATCTTTGACCATGAGTGGCAGTGGATTGAATTCAGCCATCTTCAAAATGTACACTAAAGCCCAACAGTGAAGTTCTCAGCAGAGTTTTCCCCCTAAATAATTCAAACAACTAATAAAATTATCAGCAAAACCAACAAAATGTCTTACAAGAACCATAGACTTTATTTTATTTTTTATAATGATGACAAAATATTTTTTATTTGATAGGAAATAATTAGGAAGCTTTAAAATTAGTATAAGGCAAGAGGTACAACAAAGCTCAGTAAAGATTATTACCTACAGTAACATAATAGAATAAGATAGAACTACTCTTAAAATTTAAAAACTTCAATACAAAAATTGCATGAAAATGAAATGAATGAACGTTTTTTTAATTTTAATGCAACTATTTTATTAGAATGACAGATTGGAAAACAACATCATAACTACTGATGGGCTTGTTTGAATTTCTGGTAGTAGTTCTTTCTTATATTTCCAGTATATTGTATGTCAGAAAACCTTTAAAAATGTTTCTCCAGGCATGGTGTGGTTTCACAGACAAACAATCTATTTTTTAATGTACTCTTTCTGAACTGCTTTAAAAAAAAAAAATCGAAGTTTTTCCACCCATTTTATTTTTAAACACAAAGGTATCATCAAAATGTCAGTAACTGAAATCAGTTTTTGGTTCACCAAGATTAAACCAAAATTTGCATCTCACCTGAGGAATCCTCACACAGAAATGGAATCTTTTAGAAATATTAATTTATACTTTAGTAAACTAAAGCTGTAAGTTGGTGTAAGTTTATGTTTTTATCTGAAAAAGATGACTAGAATTACACAAGCAAGAAATAACAGAAGAAATATCCTTAAACTATCTGATGGATAAAATGAACAATGCCGTTTGTTACAGTTATAGTATAGTATGCCGTTTGTTACAGTTATATTATGCAGACATAAAACATGATTCCACTCAAAAGTTTTGTTTAAATTTAAATACAGATTTTTGTCTTCAATTCTAAGAAAGGATTTTGATGATCAACTAAAAACCTAAGAAATGCACAGTACAGTAGAAACTCAAAAATCTAGTTATCCCAGCCTGTACATTGTGACCAAACAACGGTGCAGTGAGAGGAAGCATCATTACAATAGCTTGAGTCAGATCAAAGACAAACAAGTTGCAAGATCCAAAGGGGAAAACTTTGATGAAAGGAATCAAAACTAAGGTTAACACTTGAAGACAACTTTTTTTTTTTTTTATTATAAATATTGGTCACCATGATTAAGAACTACATGTATCAATCTGCCGATCTCCAAATTTAACCTGAGACACATTGACTGCAGTTTTTACAGATGTTAATGAGTAAAATCACAAGTTATTCTCTAAATTTCCTTCTATCTGTTGAAATAGAGAAAGCCTAACATGTCAGAGTAAAACAAAGACTAACATGTCAGAGTAAACAATGTGACTATTCATCATTCAACTCATCTTTTTTTTAAAATTCAGTACGGGTACAGTCTAGTTACGATCATAAGAATACAGAGTAAAGGCCATCATAAGAATATAGGTAGAGTAACAAGCCATCGGTCAAGCACTGTTATTTATTATGCACTTTGATTAGTTTACATACTGTGTCAACAAACATTGATACTGTACACAACTGAAGCACCACAAATTTTTTATTAAAAAGGGATTTTCTGTAAGGAGAGAGACCAATGCCATCAGCATGCAACAGATGGTGTGGAATTTAAAAAAAAACAGTTCTTAGAAACCGAATTTGCCTCCAGGAACATAAGTCAAACTGCTTGCGCATCATTCTGAATGTGATAAACACTTGACGCCAGAACTGTACTGTCCTTCACACCTCCTTCTACAACACGTCTACTTCTCTAGTTGGGAAGCACTGGATTAGACTTCTTCAAAGTGATTTCATTAAAATGTGTTCACCATAAACATGACATACCTATTGTGAAATTGGTTAAAAGTAAGTCTTGGCATTACCAAGTATGGCTGTTACATTAACCCATATCGCAGACAACAAGATAACGGTAACAAAACTACTAAGCACTGACAATTTTTTAACATCAAAGCTACACAACTCTTAAATTTAAAAAAAATTTATCAAAATCTATTTAAAGTATATCAGTTGAGCACAATAACTACGCTATCAAGTGCGTGATATTACAAAATGATTTACATATAACTAATAATATAAGACTTGACAATTCCAATGTTGAAGATTACATCACGTCAACATAGCATTTTATAAATAGATAAAAACCAGAATCTAACAATAGAACAAGGTTTAAACATGCCAACACTTGAAAAACAAACAAAGAAACACAGACTATAATCAGAAAAGTGCATTTTGTAACTATACATCATAATATCAATGCACTGTTATAATGTAGCTGAGGTTACACGTTATCATGGAAGCAAAGTCAGCTTTCATCACAGTCTGTGATACAAAAAAAAAAAGCTTTTGTTAAGTACTTGTGACATGTGGAGATATATATAATATATATATATATAAATATAAAGTTAGGCATGTTACACAGCAACTGTATGCGACTTAGTATCTGGGCTTTGAGAAGCAACCATCGGTAGAAAAATAAGCCCACGAAATTGTGGTCTAGTTTGTGTTGTTATGAATATTAACCTGAAAATTATTGAATCAAATACATTTTTTGTTTACTTCCTGTCAATTCCATGTGAGTAAAAAGAAAAGTTTTTTACATCGTTCCATCAATTGACAACTTATAAAGACAAGATTATCAAGCCATACGATGTCATATTGTGTTAGGGATTAGTTCTGATATGTGACAATTGGAAATGGCGAGGGGGGTTGATAGAATTCCCACAATAAATAGGTGTAAATTCCTTCTGTACAAAATTGTTTGAAAAGGATGGCAGTTATCAAACTATAAAAGTATAAAATTTAAAAAAATAACTTTTAAATTATAAAAATCTCAAATCCAAAATGGACAGTAAAAAAAAAACCTCAATATATAAGCAGATAATGTTTGGCATACAAGTACAAGGGTTATGAGACTTGAGCTATGACATCAGACATGGATTTCAGCTTTATGTGGTGTCATTGAAGAGAGCTAAATTACAAGACAGGACCCCCTTTTAAAAAATAAATGTGAACTACTTTCCGCTAGTTAAGTTTTCATCAGTGCATCAGATGACAAAAAATATCACATTATTTTCCAAAGGTTATTTTATGGTTATATAAAAATAGTTGTGCATGCATTTTATAGCTAAGATTCTTTTATTATGAACCATACCCAAATTACCAATTGTCCAAGTTAAAAACTTTCAATACCACAGTCCAAAGTTTTGAGTCGTCACCGACTTAGTGTCATTATTTATACTACACTGACATCAAATAAGTACGGTATAAAAAAATGCAAGAGAGATTATCAATCTCAAGTTTCCCTGACTTCCTCTGTTCAAATCAAAGTTTAATCATATTTCGTTTAGCTCATTCCTTCACTCCTGCCCACCATCAGGGAAAAGAAAAGTCTTGAATGGATTGGCTCTAAACAACTATGTATTAAGACTTTATATTAAGCTTATAATTACTTATCTATGTATAATGGGTGACAAAATATAACGATCCTGACACTGTAGTGTCCATGAAGACATGGCTAACTGGTTGAGCTATAAGATAATTGTTTTATTTTCTTTTTTAAACTTTGCATCAACGATCAGAATTCATTTAAAAAACTCTTTTCGCTTCCTATCATACACTTACAATCTTCTTCAATATGATGCATTCATATTTATGACTCAAAAGTTTGTGTTGACAAAAAAAAAAAGAAACTGCCAGTGAGCAAATCTTTATGCCAGGAACTGAGCTTTATAAACGACAGGAAGGAACTTTTCATTCCAACCATCATTTCATGGTGTGAGGTTTTCACACCAGCGACAAGCACGGCTAGCCATGGCATCTCATTTCATGGTGACAGGTTTTCATGCCAGCTGCAAGCACGGCTGGCAGCATGGAATCTCATTTTCTTATCAGTTGTAAATAATTCTCCCAATAAACAGTTTTATCATTACTATTCGAAAATAACATTACAAAAAATGTGCATCATACCAGAGTAACAAAATTTTTTCGAAGACCACAACCTTCACACCAAGGCTATTTATTTAAAAAATTGATGGACAGCCCTTAGTCCTAATACCCTGTTGCTATTTCTCATTGTGTATATCAATTGTCTGCACAGTGAAGGTGGGATTGTTTTCAGTGTGTAAGCTTGACAATAACATTAAATACAGGCAATACAGTCATAGCAGTACAGAATTAAGCGCTCAGTGTACTTATGTATGTCAAAATACACAATTCTCTATGTCAACATCAGTGTACTTATGTATGTCAAAATAAACAATTCTCTATGTAACACTGTCACTAAAGCTACCAGATGGCGTTGGTATCAAAATAAAATTCTCATTAACAACAGAGTGAAATGAGATTCTCTAAAACACCACACAAGTGCCTCACATTTTTGTTTTGTTTGACGGAAACGGTTAAATAAATCTGCAGTGTTAAAAGGCGGTTGGACATTAGAATATTAATATAGTGTAGGGACAGTGGCATTGAGAGGGTGGGGGTGGCCCCCCCCCCCCCCCCCCGGGGGGGGGGGGGGGGGGGGGGGGGGGATCTTATAAAGTGCATTACCAGGTACCTGAATGCATGTTTTGTCAAGTAACTTTAGTAGATCAGAAGTTTGTGCATTGTGGCTGCCATAGCCTGTTGGGCCATAACTAGCTTTAAATAGAGTTATGTAAATTTAAATTACCTATTGTGCAAATAACGCTAAAATGTTTCAAATGAAACAAATAATTAATACAAAAGTTGGCCAATAATTTACATAAATGACAAATATTGGATGAATTTCAATAAGGCCCTATAAATATACATGCAACACCCCACAGGGTGTTAGTACCCTGTCTTAGAGTAACTTGTCTTTTATAGAGAGATGTAAGCATTATAAAAAAAACAACTTAGCATCATCAGGAGACACACAGTTATCACAACAGTAAGTTTTACACTGTACATTACTTTACAATGACACCATTTTTAAGATGAACCATTCCACATCAATTTCAAGACATTACTCAAACAATAATCAATATATTCTCCAAAAAAATTTTTTTTTATCAAAACTAGCTTCAAAAACTGGATAACATATATTTTTTTTAAAGTTTAACTATAGATCAGGGTTTCAGAGTCAGGGGTCAAATAAATTTTTTTTTTCGCCTCGGCTGTAATAGTCTCCCTTGTGTAATTTTTTCTGGTATATTTTTTTTGTTACCGTATTCTTTCACTGTCTATTTCTTTTTACTGGATGGCACTCCTGTGCTTCGCCATAAGTTATTATGATTTTTAAAAAAACTGAATCTATATCACCCCTACTACAAAACAGCAAAATTCAATTTAAAAAAAAACTCCCAAAAGAACTTTAAAAAAAAGCTTGTTCCGATTACTGGCCCCTTTGACAACTTCTTAAAAAAGCCAACTCAGGTGCCAATTATTTTAAAATTTAATGTGTATACATCTATTTAAAACCTTCACAAATTTTAAATTCAAACAAGCAGAAGCATGTAAATAAAAAGAAATGACTGCTTTAGCATGGATAATGTACCGGTACATCTGAAAATATCAATGTTTATATAGAAAATTATGTACAAACCTTTTTTTCTCTCTCAAACAATTCTCTAAACTTAAATACACCCATACAAAATGACAGGACAAAGAATCATGTAACAATAAATGATATCTCTTTGATATCTCTTGTCTTAAGCTTATTTTACTATGTGGCCAAAAAAAAAAACAAGTTTGAAATTTTTTGCCCAATTTTTTTCTGTAACAAATTATATAGTCTAGTCAGTTACCGGTATAACAAATAAAAGCTAGTACCATAGATATTCCTGGCATCTTTCATCATAGAAATCTGTTTTGAAATAATGGAGTCTGAAACTCAGATCATCTTTTTAACAATTGACCTAATTTCCATGGCCCCCTCACCAGTGAATATAATAACTGATGGACAGAGATGACAACATAAACTTGGTGAAAAAATCAACAGCTCATTTGAAATGATTACAAAATAATGTCAATAGTTGTATAAATAGATTATTTTGTACTGGCAAAAAAATTTAAGTTGATGATATTCATAATTTAGATTGGTTGGTCAAGTAGGCAATAAATAAACAAGCATACATACATCTATTTCAGCAAAATATTTTGAAGCAAAACACACAAACACAACAATGTGTCTTGACATGTACAAATATATCTTTAAAATATCTTGATTAACATAGAAGATTAACAAACATCTGAATAGTTCAAGAATAGAAAAAAACGTACAGGCAGTGAAATATTTTGTTATGGCTGAACCTAAAAAAAAAGGAAATTTGGTTATGACCGGTTGAAATTTCCAAAGACTAGATCCTGAAGTAGCATTATTTGTGGGTAAGTAGGCCAGTCACAAACCATTTGTAGGTAAGTAGGTCAGTAACAAACCATTTGTAGGTAAGTAGGTCATTAATAAACCATTTTTAGGTAAGTAGGTCAGTAACAAACAAATTGCAATAAACTGGAAACAAAAAAAATTAATGACAAGAATCTGAATGAAATCATTATCAACAATAATGAATCGGAGGAAGCATCAGAGAAAGCAATGACAAATGGACATCATGAAAAATGTAGTACATACCACCTCTTGTCAAAAATGATTTCTTCTTAAAAGAAAACACACAAAAAATAGCAGAAACTATACCCTGCTCCGACCCTTCTACTGAATCAACCAATGATAATGCAATGGGCAAATTTTTTTATAAATATTGGCAAGAATACACAAAAGAATGTTACCGTAATCTAATAAATCATTAGACAGATCTTAACCTCAAAAATAATGCAACACATAAAAGTCTCTACAGAGAAAAGGACCAGTTCATAGCATACCGGTACTATACGAAATTAAGTAAAAACTGTTAGAAAGTAGTCTAAAAGTTATTATGTCCGTTCATGCAGCAGAAAAAGAATCCTGTTCTACGGGAATTAATTAACAGTATAACTATTCCCAGCATCTACAGTCACTCATTTAGTTGTTACAAAACAAAATTTCAGACGTCTACTGGATAAAAATAAAACACTACAAATATAATTTATCAAACATTTGGGTAAGCCCATTGTTTGATCCTGAGGCGACTAACATTCGTTGTTGAACTGAATACTGATTTCATTTTTTTTTTATAACATTATGTTGGAATTTTCTTTCATTTTTATAAATACTGGTAAGTTTTTGTCAAATATTGTCTAGGATCTTAACATAGATTTATTAGTGCAACTTACATGGTGCCATTTCTTAAAGTTTAAAATGTTGAAGTACAACTTTCATCTCATCTCAATTTCAAAGAACTTTTTTTTTTCTTCAAAGAGGCACAGTGACACCAACAGTGGTGAGTATGCTCTTCACCAAAAGCATCCTCTGGTAACCTGAAGTGAAATTGTATTTCTCTTCCTTGTTTACAGCTCAGTTGCCATTTTAGTGGTCAGTGCCTGAATTCTTTTGGCATTGCAGTTCTTACACAAGATGTGATCGTCCAGTGGGTAGCATCCCCTGCCCTCTGCCTCAGAGCTCAGTTGGCAGTTACAATCCTGTGAAGGGAGAAATTGTTCAGTTCAATACATTAAGAAAACAGCTGGCAATAGCGCCTGCCTCTTTACCGCCCCAATAAAATTGCTGCATTCAAGGCCTTAATCTTAAATGGGAAAGGCTATTTTTTTTAAATTGTTGGAACTTCTCAGAGATAAAAGAACAGTTGACACTGACAGTTAAATGCCTCATTTGCTTTTGAAACGGTAAATCAATATTACAGGTAGTAGGTGCAATATATTACTCTGTTATTTAAGTAGTTTTAAAAAAGAAAGAATTCAAACAAGCATTTTTTCATTATTATTATCATAGTTACTTTCTATTATTTTATGGAAATCGAATAAATTTAAAGGCGCAAAAAATATGATACATCCGCTTTTATTTTAGTAAAAGTGTAAGTATTATTATTATCAATTAAAAATACATTTAAAGTAACAACTAAGGAACTATCTTAAGCATTTTATATGCATTTGAAAGTTATGAAAAAAATTAAATTAAAAAATAATTATAAAAAAATACATTGTAATCACATTTTTGGGGAAAACCCAAACATCAGTTGTTTTTAGTGCGTTTTTCTGCGTTGTTAAATTTGCGATATAAAATAAAAATTAATTTGTTCTAAATAAACACACAAATGAGTCATAGCGCTAATCACCTATGTTGGCCAAAACTCTTAAGTTTCTTTGATTTAATAACTGCAGTGTTACAAAACAGATAATGTATTTTCCCCTTCTTAAAAGTAAAAATAAAAATATAATTGATTGCTTTTTAAATTGTTAATAAAACACACAAAAATTTATGCTTTGTATTTTTAACATTTAATAAGTTGTTCCTTTTTTTTAAATTCCAAAATTATATTTTTATTAAATTTATAACGTAATAAAAACTTAATCTTTAAATACACCCGGTACTTTTAATAAGAAAATGCTATTTAAGTCAATCAGTGCAGCGAAACTCCATAGCCAAATAGCCTTCACTAATCCACTTATATAACTCATCCAAATAAGAGCAAACCATATGAAGTGCAAAATATGTTTTTTGGGGGTTTTTTTTGGGTATGGAAGGGACTACAATCCGGTGGAAGATTTTATTAATTTTTTTTAAATCTTGGGGTAGTGGGGTTGGTCACTTTGCCCCAGGCAGCACAAGATACGTCTAAAAAAAAAAAGGAATGTATTTGATAAATAATTAAACTTCTTCGGTACATACATATCCGAGGTAGGAAATATATTTTTAACGTGGATGACAATATATTTAATCCTATGGTATTAGTATTACATTTGTGAAAAAAGAGATGTTTCAATTGTCTTTTACAATTATGGGTATGTTCATTTTGCCCCAGGCAGCACAAGATATGTCTCAAAATAAAGGAATGAATTTGATAAATAATTAACATTCTTGAGTACATATATATCGGAGATAGGAAATAGGATGTGTAAATTTTTATGTGGATGACAATATATTTAAATCCTAAAGTATTACATTTGTGGAAAAAATAAATGTTACATTCTCTTTTTACAAATATGTGTATGTTCATTATTAAGAAAATCAGTGACATTTACTAAACATGGCTACATTTATATAAGTATACCCATAAATATCAAAACATAACAAAATTTAATTTTGAAAAATGGAGAGATGGGTTAATATTTTCTTTCAAAAAAATGAAAATATATTTTTGGTTTTACTTTGCGAAAAAGTAAAGTGGGTGTGTATTTTTATGAGATTAACAATTTAAAAAAAAAGACACTCAATTCTTATAGACTTGAAAAGCGGTTGCGAGATTCTTGTTTAGATAAAAGAATTTTTTGTTTTACAATTTTCTGATAACATACAATTAAAAATCAAGGCAAAAGTTTGTTTAAATTTTATATGAAGATATTAATATATCAAATTCCTTTATAAAATATTTTATATTATATATACTTTTTTTGTGTGTAAATTTAAGACAAAAAAATGTTGTAGTGACAAAAGTGATATAATTAGTGATATTTTAGATTGGGTAATTTAAGGTCATGTTTAGAGGGGAAAAATGTAGGTTACGGGCATGAAAGGGAGTATGGTAGGTGTATAATATATAGCAGATAAATACTTCTTAAAACTTAATGATGTTAGAAATGTAAATATCACTACAAACACACTTCTTTTTAAAGTTAGGAATTGTGATGAGTTTTTGCAACAGCAGGTAGAAATTATCGCAAAGGACCTACCATCATCCCGATAACATCGGGTCATATATTATAGTTAAGAAGATTACACATGTGCCTTGGGATGTAAGAAAGAAATTTTTTTAAACTAAATTCTTAAAATGATACAGAATTTGAGATGAACATGTTGATTTTTAACCAATTCTTACTTCGCAACGGTAGCAATCCACATGGAATGATTTATCCATGGCCACTATTCTCACTGTCTCATCTTGACCTGCATCTGGCATGATCGGACGCTGGCAAACACAGCAGCGAGGAGCAAATTTTCTTGAGGAAAAAAATGAAAAATGAAATAGTTGTAAAGGAATTAAACTATTATGCCGCCAACAAGCTAGCCGAACATTGGATTTTCCTGAGAGCTCTTTATAAAGGTGGTTCCAAAAATAATATATCACAGACTTAAAAATGAACACAAATTTCTTTAATAAAGCTTTTAACCAGTAAGATTTTGAATTTTTATTGTATCTACTCTCTTAATCAGCATGCTTCTGTGCATGAGATCTTAATTAAGTTTGAAGAATACGTGAAACGAATGACTGTTTTTTAATTGGATTATATTAGGTACTGTCATAACAGATGTAAAGCTTTGAATCTAAAAATGGGGGGTGGGGGGGGGGGGGGCATAAGCCTTAAATTAATTTTTTGGGTTGTAACAAATTCAGCTAGACAAAACTGACCTATAATGCTAATGTTTGTTTTGAGTTCATCCTTTGTGCTCATTTTCAGATCAGATGTGCATTTTGTTTATGATGTAATTAAAATATTTACAAGACAAGAGTGTGCGAGTCTGAGTGTTGCATTGAAAGTAGTACACCATTTGGTTTATACATTTCTACCATTTATCATTGAGTTATTACATTTAGTACACCTTTTGGTCTATATATTTCTACCATTTATCATTGAGTCATGACTAGTACACCCTTTGGTCTATATTTCTACCATTTATCATTGAGTTATGACATCTAGAACAAGCACTACAACTTTTAATAAAGGACAACTTGGATATGCACAAAGAAATTTCATCATTTTGTAGCCACTATTGAACGATTTTTTAATAACTTTTTACCTGAGAAATGTCAATTGTACAATAAAATTTTTAATTTGATCTTCTTTTTAGTAAAAATTAACAAACATAACTGAGTTTCAAAACACTTAACCCACTAAATAAATAAAATTTTACCTAATAAACAGTATGTTTAATTAAGGAGCCCTACCTGGAGACTATTCAAAACTCACTTGTGAAAATCCTCAATGCAGTGAATTTGATTGGTGGCATCAACTGTGAAGGGTATCCCATCAAGTGATTTACCACACACCACACAAGTGAAGCAATCTGGATGGTATGGTTTTCCTGTAGCCCTTAGAAGCTTTTCAGAAATGGACAAAATTGTTAATAATTTATCAAAATATGTGTTAAATTCAAATGTTCTAACGATGCTCAAATTTCAAGGAGACAGAGTTCAAAGAAGAGTGAAGCTTTACTGCAGACCAAATAAAAAGAATACTATGTACAAATGTTTAAAGCTTTTTAAGAACAAAAAATTGTTTAAAAGTTAACACAAGTTGTTTTTATGGATGAGTTTTTTTTTAAATATTTATCATCGAAATTTTTAAAACAAGAAAATGTGCCACATTTACAAATTAAATTACCCAGATTTATAAATAAACTTGCCGATGGAGAAAACAACACTTTAAGATTTTTTTTTTAAAGGAAATTAAAAAAAAATTAATTTTTAAAAATGTATTACCTTTAAAGAAAAAACAAAATTAATCCTAAAGTGTTTTTTCTACATCTGCAAGTTTATAAATAAACCTGCAGATGTAGAAAACAACACTTAAGGCTTCATTTTTTTAATGTAATAAAAATTTACAAAAAAAAACAAGATAAAATGAGCAATCTTTTGAATGACTACTCTCTAAAATAATAACAGCCCTATCTTCTAAAACTTATCTTTGCATATCTCAAATGCATGACTCAAGTTATTGTATGTAAATATGAGAATATGTGTTTGTCAAGTTGGTACTTACTCTGTCTGTGATGGGTTTAGAGCAAACTGAGCATCTCTCCAGCGTATTCTGAAAATAAACAAGTAAAACTGGAAAATTAAACTTACTTCCCTAAGTACAGTCGAACCCGCTTATCTCGAACTCAGTTAACTCGCAAGCCTTGTTATGTCAACGTTTTGGGAGTGGAACCGCCAAATTCCCTCTTAGTCTTAGCATTTTCTCCTTGGTTATGTCAATTCTTTTATATCACCGAACCCTGGTATCTCGAGCACAAAAGGTTGCCAAATGTGATCCCCATGACCAATCGCCGGCTTTTAAAAATTATACACAACAGAAACGCACAAAGAAATTTCAAGCACATTTATAATATATTGCCGCCATATTGGTTTTCGTTTATTCCGATCATCTGTTATCTCGGCACTTTTTGGCAAACCCTGAGGCCGTCGACATAATCAGGTTCTACTGTAAACCTAGAAAATTAAACTTACTTCCCTTAGTAAACCTACAGTGAAACGGAGATCAAAGTGTTTAAAACATGAGTAAAAAATTACTCACTACATAGCAGACTTCACAGTAGGGCTTGGTTTCCATGGCAAAGAAGGATTTGCCTTGAAGTGGTGCATCTGTAATGTAAGTAAATTTCAGTAAAGCATTAGAAATAATTAGATGAGATACAGCATAATACACAAAACAGAAACTGCAAGGTTTTTTTAATGTATGAAACATTTCTCAAACTACAAAATTGAGGAGGGGGGATAAAGGGGTAGATGAGTTACTTTAATTATATAATTTAAATATGAATTAAAATTGTGTTTTATAATGAGTCTTATCATGGTAGAATTTTTTAAAATCTACAATTGATAACTTGAAGTAGATATGACATTGTTTCTTTATTTTCTTGGGTATTCTTTTTTCCCCCATCATCCTTTACGAACAAATAAGCCACTCACTGCATCCAACGCAGGTGAAACAGCCAATGTGATAGACATTGTCAAGAGCTGAGCAGGCATTCATACTGCCAGAGACTGTGTTACCACATCGACCACACATACCTGTAGAAGATATCAGTTCTTTTGATATTAGAAATTATAAGTTAACATATCATTTCAGTTGAAGATTTACTGAAAGATACATAGAACATTCTTATTGTATGCTAAGTCTGAATTTTGTTCGTCCTTCTCATGAGAATATGACCAATGATATATTACTTGGTGAGTACGCAGGTGGCCTACCAGTCCAATTTGTGCCTGTGCGTTGTTTGGGGTCCTAGTAGGATTAGAGTAGTGAGCGATGTGTTTATTCTCCAAGGATTGATACCAGCTTGGACATTCCATAGTAAGCGTCTCCCACAAATCAACGTCAATGTCTCTGGATTTCAGTGATGCTTTTAGAGTGCCCTTGAAGCATTTTTTTCTACCCACCAGATGAGCGGTTCCCACATGAGAGTTCATGAACATTGGTTGTTTCGGAAATCTGCTGTCTGGCAACATGCCCTTCCCAATATGGCTTCTCCTTTTTGTAGGAGCGCGTGGATGGTGTTAAAATCAGCCCAATGTGGGACCTCTGTATCAGGGACTCTATTCGTCCAGCCACCTTATACCAGTAAGTTTACATAGGCAGCGTAGCCTGGACACCTAGAGGTGATAGCCCTGATATGCGCTTTCTTTTGTTTAAGGTGAGGGAGACTTGTACAATTTATCAGCCTCAGCCCCTCGTCCATGCCCATTTTGATCCAGTGCCGAGACTTAGTCAAGATGACTGGTAAAAGACAAGGATGCAGTGCATGACCTGGAGTGCTTTTTGTGTCTCACTGTGCTCTTTTCACGTTCCACACCACATTTGCTGCATCTGCTTTTCCACCCATTTTGTATCACGTAAGGATCTCTTTGGCGTGGTCCACCATGGCCCAGTCTTCACTTGGTCCACAACGGTCAAGTCTTCACATGGTCCACCAGGTCCAGTCTTCATGTGCCAGGCAGACACATCCTCATGTTTCCACCATGTCTTGTGGCATGCTCCCAAGACATTGGGTCGGCACAACAGTTGTAGGATTATGAAGTTATTGCATATGGTGATGGTACAAGGACCTGTTTAGTTTCATTTTATCAACTTATTAAATGAATTATACCTATCCAAATACATACATTTTGTTTTTGGCTAAAGTCTTTAGTGTGTTTCTTCGCAAATTTGACTGATTAATTTGTGTCTAAATGTCTGATTTCCTTCCCTTTGTGCTCTTGTTATTTTGTATTCCGCCATCTTGCTGCTACCAGAAAGTAGACATAAATTAAAAAAATAAATATGTTTATTTTTTAGCTTTGCTATGAAATAATTAAACATTTTAAACTGATGCAGTACCCCAATAGTCTTTATCCTCGGCAGCAGAGGTCATGTTCTTCATCAACAAATCTGTCAGGGCATCTACTTCAGCCTCTTTCTCCAGCTTACCCTGTGAAGGAGCAGATGAGGTAGGCCCACTCATCTATTTTTCAAATAAAGAGAAATTCAAAATAAATCTATTTTAAGGACACGAAATTTTCTGAATCATATTTTAAAATTACTTATCAATAAAAAATTTATTTCATACATATGATGAGGGTGGATGATATGAAGATTTTCCCCAAATTTAAATACTGAACATGCTACATGAAGCTGGTGTGACCCTTAGCACTGCACTAATGATGAAATGCAAACATTTTAAAGCGCTAATTAATATGATTCAATGACTGGCTAAGACTTACGTGTCCACCAGGGGGCACCATGGGTCCAGGTACAGGCCTCTCTCCAATGATAGACCTGGCCACCTGACCTCCACCAACTCTGTATGAATCAGACGTGCTTGTATTTTTTGGTGCTGTTAAATATTAGATCATATGATTGATTAACATAAAGCTGTGGTAGACATTTTTTAACATTTGTAAAGGAAACATATGAAGAAAGACAACACCAAATTTAACAATGATTACTAAATCAAATAAAAAATATTTCATCAATGAACTAGCTTAACTATTTTTAGATAGAGAAAAATTACTTCCTTTTTTTAGTTTTATAATATTGCTATTAATTGCAATTTGGCAGAATATTCATGACAGCAAAAATCTAGTATACACATTAAATATATTTTCAAAATCTAACTCATGACTCCCTAAATATCATCATGTCTCTATTATGCTTAAGTGTAAGCAAATTTTTAAATGTTTTTTAGGTAGCAGTATTTTACTTAACATAATAAATAAAGTGCACATCTGTTAAAACTAAGGTAAAAAGTTTTCTCCAAAAAAAAGAGTTGAGCTTGAATTTTCACTCAGTCTGTAGTTTTTTCCATCATTTAAAGAGAGACCAGCTTAATGGTTAAACTCACCAACTGGTACGTAACTGACATCCCCATACCCGAACTCTTTATTTGTTGGAGTAGGCGGAGCTATATTGATTTGGATATTGGCATAATTAGATTCTCCTGGATACGCTGTTGTTCCTGAGTACGTGGTTACTGAAATTCATAATGTACAACGATTATTTATTATTTCTGATAACTTTATATAGTATCATCGTTTGAAGAAGTGCACTATAATTATATCTGCCAAATACTTGTGCATTTACATAAGATAATAATAAAACAAATTTAAAGGGATTTCATGTTTAGTGGGTATACCTTATGAAACTATAACTATTTATTATTTAAAGAACACATGTATAATAATTGTATGTTATCAACTTTGGACACTATAATATACCATTTCAAATTTATTTATGTCTGGCCTCTTTAAAAGAATTACTCTTTTTTAATACGACACTTCAAGATGTGCATGTCTTTTTTTACATCGCACTTTGGTTATTAAGAATTTGAAAATTCAAAATTGACCTTTAGCAGCACTACTGGTTGTCTTAGTGGTGCGTGGTGAAGCTGAATTATAGTCCTGAGGTCTGTAATCCTCTGTCCTCATGTAACGAGCCTCGCCACTGTAGACATTAGTGTAGGTGTGAGTTTCATCCTCTGCGTAAGCTTGGGGAGGGGCAGGGGGTGGTGGTGGTGGGAAGTCATCTTCTTGGCCATAACCATAGCCCTTGGGCCCACTGTCAGGTGGAGGAGGGGGAGGGTATGCCCCAGATTCATCCCTGTAGTGCTCAACATTTACTGGCCGATAGTTTGGACCTCCTATTTGGACAAAACCAAAACATAAATTTAATATTCCTAAAAAAAAGGAAAACACTAGAGCCACAATTAACATCAAATTATAAATTAGCAATGTAAATCAATAAACATATAATTTTTCTATTAAACATAATCTTGTATTACAAAACATGTACAACATTCTAGGAATTGTTCACATTTATTGATGAAATCAAGAAAAATCTGTTTAATAGTTAAGCATCAAAAGTAAATAGGTTTTTGTGCATTTACAACAAAGCTTAATTGGCATGGTGAAGTTTAAAAGCAAAGATAATTTTAAATTTCCATGGTAGATAATTGGAATAAAAAACTGAAATCAGAACAATATTTTTTTTTAAACTTATAAATTATAAATTTTAATTGTATGTTTTTCCATTTTTTTTGCACTGGCTTTACATGTCATTGGCGTAAGATCAATTTATAAAAAATGTTAAAATTAACTGACCTGGTCTAAATGGTTGTGGAGCTTGAGTATAGGGCTTAGGAGAAGTTCCAGGTGGTACCTTCTGCATGCGCATTTGATTGAAATCTCTGTTTACATTTTGGTAGGCCATTTTGCAGGATGTTATTCTTGTTTATCTGATTTAAGGCATAATTTATTCATTTGAATAAATTCATGGAAGGCCCATAGATACAATCCTAAGTTAAATAAATCATTCTGAATTGAATATACTCTTTATTAGGCTATCACGGTGTGTAGCATTAATATACTGTGCATTAGTCTCCTTAGTGACCAAAGATGTTGAATGACTTTTGGAGGTACCATACCCCTTAGATATGTTAAAATTTGGATAATCTTACCACTTTAGTGTTGGTTTTCCAAAAATCACCTACTTCTCGTTTGAAGTGCTATCTAAACGGTCATTCTCTCATTGATGTCTGTTAATTTTAATAGGACAGTGGAGAGAGGGCCACTGGGTACTCGGTTGCAAAGAGAGAGTGGGCGCTGTTTTCTCATTTCTTGTTTAAGTGTAAACCGATGTGCGATCACTTTATAGGAGTGCATAAAGAGATATATCCTTTCAGGATTCCAGGCTCACTTATTTATTGTATTTGAAAGATGGGTGGCTTATGGAAACATAAACAAGATCTGAAATAATCTACGAACACTCTGTTGTTGTAGTCCATCAACAATATTTTGTAGATCCAAATGAAGCTCCCCTTCCATATCCGTCATTGTGAAACCTCGTCCCCTTTCAAAAAGTCCCTTAAAACCTATCTGTTTAGGTCCGCCTATGACCTGTGATGCACCCTCCTTGCCCTGCCTCATTTTCTGTCTTGGGTTGATCCTGTAGTATAGGCCAAAACATGCCAAAGTGTCCTCGTTTTATAGTCATTTTAATTGTTTCTATAGTATAGTAGTTACTATCCTAGTGTCTCATTTTTATTTTACTTAGTTTACATGTTTTTAATAATTGTAAAGCTCTTAGAGCTTTAAGGTAAGCGCTATATAAAAAATGCCTAAATAAATAAATGTCTACAAGCGGAATGTTGAAAATATGTGGATGGGTGCAAAGCGCAAACTGAAAAGACAGTTTGGCACAAGTTGGGGCTTGGACCTCCCTGGTCCCTAGCTCCAGAAGCCTTCTGCAGCAGGTGTTGCAGATATAATATAATAATATAACTATAACTCTGAGAGATTATTATGCCCCCTCTGATTACTATAATAATGGACTAATCAGTCTACTGTAGATACTTCGAGGAAACAAGGGAGACTACTACTTTTTTCGTATCGGAAATGGGCGTTGGTGCCGAAAAATCTGAGTTTTTTAATTTTCCGATGTGTGCGTCTATTTATTATTAAATTAGTTCTTTCGACATATATTTGAGTTCCCGTTTCCGACCTTTTAATTTGGAAGACATCTTGGCCTACATTTCTAGCCAGCTGTTTTGCTTTTTTCAATCGACCTTTATTTTGAAAATCTTTGGTATATATAAGGCATCTTCACATATAAAATTTTTTGTGAAATAATAAGATAAGGCCCTTTTTAATTAAATCTGTATAGGCTAAGCATTAGATATTGATCTATATCTGTGCCAAGTTTCATTGATGTATGTCGTGTCCCACGTTCGTTACGCTTCTCCCAGTGACCCATATCACCATAAGATGGCTCAGCCTAATTTCGACATGGCGTAAGCCACGCCCCCTTTTTAATGGCGGAAGTTGCCGATACTTAGGAAATATTTAATTATTACCACTATATACATCAAAATATTTTATATTTTGTGTTTCAGACATTTTGAAGACATTTAAACTGGAATGTTTTTTTGAGCTTTAAAAACCCAGTAGAGTCCATATTATAAATGATCAGAATTTTCCCTGTGCAACACGTTGTCATTGGCAACCATTCACAGCCACTTGCATAATGGCTATATCGTAGTACTATCTCAGAGTTTCATTCATAAGAGTTTGCCATGTGCAAAAACTATTAAACCATTGGTCAGGGAAAGCTTTAATTATTCATGTGCCAAAGTTGAAAGTTTAAAATAAGTCGACCCTAAACAGTATTATAGTGATAAGGGAATGCGTTGCCTTATATAAACTATATAGTCATTGTGCATGACGCGATCAGCCGAATGAGGTCACAGAATGTGGAGATGCAGTCCATGTTAAAAAAGGACAAACCAAGTCATACTTTAAAAATTCATAACTTTAAAACTACAACAGCTAAAAATATGATTTTGGTGTTATAATTCTGTAAAAAATTTGCTCTATTCAACTATGACATTGGTTTATTTTTACAAAATGTTTAAATTTTTGACCAAAGTATCTAGTCTACTGTGTACTCACTTGACGTAACTAAAGATTATTCTCTTGTTCTTGCACTTACACTCGGTCTCACTGATGACTTATTTATTAGTATTTACTAGTATTTAGGCTTACGCCTAGTGACAACAGTCGTAGTAGGCTAAGGCTAAGTAGTAGGTAGTAGTCTTAGTAGTGAGTGCAGTTCAGTAGCAGTAGTTGTATTCTAAAAAATGTGTGACTAGTCTGCTTTAATTGACAGTAAGAACCTCGAACTTTCAGTGAAATTGTGAATAAAGTAATAAGGACTTACTATTTTTCTTTGAGGCAGATAGTAATGGAATGAAAAATCACAATGATAATTCCACTAAAAGTAAACGCTGTGACCAAAAAAATAATAATGTTCGATAACCCGGAAATCTCTGCCATAAAAGGAAGCGCTCTTTTACGATGACATCATTAATTGAGGGCAGGTAATCCATTTATAAAAAATGTATTCAAAGCCGAAACGGTTGAGACCAACGAAAAAAACAACCTCCAACATTATCATAAACTATACAATTATTATTTTTTATCTTTAAAATCAATACTTAAACCTTTATTACATGTTCTTCTGCTGCCAACTTTAAGATTGATTCAAAATAACCAAATACAGATCTTCATATTATAATTTTTAAAAACTGAACATGGCAGGCTAATGTTAATATAAATGCTGTTTTGCTTTACAAAACGTCTGGGAAACTATTTTAATTAGATTTTTGTTATTGCACGGGAAATGCCGGTGAATAAATATTGCCCTGATTTTGCACTTATGTTCACGGGTAAATTATTTTGACATGATTTTCGAAACTTTTACTTTAATTAGTCCATAAGGTATATATGTTTAGCCGAATGTTTTAAAATGAAAGTTGTGTATGCAGGCGATGAGCTTTAAATATACGGCAGTTTTGTTTTATTTTAATCATTTGTTGCTAAGAAGCAGAAAAAATGGCGGCGTACTACTAATGACTAATGCTCAATGAATATCAACCGTTTAATATTGAAAGTTACGAGGTAAACTAAATTAATATAAGGTGGTAATATACAACTAAGTATTTTATTAAAATACAAATGATCAAATGTTCTAGCCAATAAAATTAAAATCATTATTACTCAGTCAAATCATGTCTACTGACTGACTGATAATGAGAATTCACCACGACCACAGCGACCACAGTCACAGACACTTCTCACTCAATTGTGAGTCCAGTTTAATGTAAACACAAGTAACTACACAGTTTGAAGAGTAGTAGTAAAGTAGTAGTAAGAACAAGTGGATTTCAGTGGAGAGTGTAGCCCATTGTGTTTTTAAATATTTATAAAATTTTAAAACTCAAAGTTGCCTTGTAGAAATAGCTAATTTTAAATTAAAAATAGATAACAAAATCAACTCTGAAGCTTGAGGCAGCTGTCTTACTCTTAGTTGACAATGACAATGTTGACATTTTGACTTATAGATTGAGTTGAGTCAGCTTACCTACTTTTTGAGACAATGAAGTATGACATTGTAACAGTATGAACTTTTTGTAGTTTTAAAGAGTCATTTATTATTTAGTTGTCCTTTTTTTACCTTTATCATATTTAACATAGGCTAAATATGAACTTCGATACTTCAACTTTCTGTGCATGACTGAAAATTATGTATTTTGTTGTGCCATGCTTTTGGCATGGAATTTTTGGTGGCCTCCATTAATTTCTTTCATCTTTGCCGTTTATAATAGATGAATTTCATCATCAATCATCAATGACAATGACTTTGAGTAGATTCTCTTACAAGCACGCATGTGTAAATATTGAAATGAGTTTATTTGTTTCACATTTACGGTGACACAGCAAACATGATTTTAAGTTTTAAACATCAAAAACTTTTTTTACAGCAAATATGCATTGTTATGAACCCGTGCCCATACGAATTAAAGGTTATCCATTTTTAAAACCAATTAGTTGTACTTATTGTAATAATTCTTTCCCTGATAATCAACATTCAAGCTCAAAATGGTTCACCAGAAATCAAAAATAGAAAGTCAGCCTTTCTTTAATAGGCATGCTGCGGGAGTGACTCTTTCACACTTTCAGTATTAATGATATTATATAGAAAATACTTTTAATAGCCATCTTACAAATCTTAATAAAAGTTGGTATTTTTATTATTATCATATGAATAAGCTCAAAATTGTGTACAGGTGGAAAATATTTTATTTAAATGTGGCTATTAAATTTATTTCAATAAAATTTGCTTCCAGTTTTATTATTATGAATATTTTTGGCTTGGACAAATTTACTTTATAAGTAGATTTAATTAGTAATTATAAAATCATATAAAATCAGAAAATTAATACCGGTTATCAAATTATAGGTTATTAAATTTAATTATAGTTAATTATAGCCATATAATACTGTTTAATTAAGAGCTAGCTCTTTGATACTTGGTAGGAATATTCACCAAAGAATGTTCTTCATTAAATTTTGTTATTATAAGTATGAGACCTAATTTTGTACCTTTTTGATTTACAAATATCCAAACATAACCCTTATTCACTGTGGATAAAAAAAAAACTTAGGGCAGAGTGCAACATTTTTTTTTTTAAAAGACAATTAAAATTGAAGAGTTAATTAAGACTAGGGGTCGCAAAACCAGTCCCTTTGCCAAAACTGGTATTTTCGATATTGAAGTTGACGAATACCGAAATCCCGGTATTTTCGATATTTAGAGAATTTTTAGTTGAGATTTGAGTTTAGAGGTGAGAATTTATCAATGAAATAAAAACATTCAGAAAAAATATCACATTTTGATTTTTAATAAGCTTTTTAACAATAAAACACATGTTTAACTTCAGACTTTAATCAAACGAACAAAAATAATATTCTTAACTTTTAAATTTAAATAGTTTTATTAATCAAATATTAAAATAATTGGTGTTATTTTAATCTTTCGTCATTCGGTCAAATTTAAATAATGAAATAGTAAAAATGACAAAGTGTATAATGTTTGGTCACTTAACTTTGACTGCAAATTGTTACAAAAGTAACCTGATGAAGAGAACCCCTGCTCTGACTCCACACTTGTCAGAGGAATAGACCTTAGGCTACCATACGCAATTTCTAGATATTTACCTCTTGAACCGCCATTCTCAAATAAAGCCATTTCTATTGTTATCAATGTATCAATGTCTCCTTCCGTTAGTCTGGAAGTATTATCCTGAGCCTGAAGTTTCTTTTGTATTTCAATTTCTAATAATTGTTTCTTAAGTGGCAGTGTGTTTTCAGGTTCGTCATGCTCAGATCCAAGATGTTCAGTTTCATTGTTCATAGATATTTCCAACGAGGAATCCGCTGTCTGACCAAGCTTTTGAATATCCACGATATGTTTTCGCATCTGGTCGCAATCTGGCCTTAGAAATATGTCCAAGTAGTCACTGGAATGTGCAGACTTTAAATTAGAGTGAAGGCCTGAAGTTGTACCTCCCAATGTTTTAAGTATCTTGTTACATCTAATACGTTTAGCTGAGAGATTGTCCGTTGCTTTCAAGAAATGATGCCAAACTGATGTCTTTGTTTCCGATAGTTTCATATGCTTTTCAAATTTAGGTTTATTTTTTCAGGGTCCCCCATTTCTTTCTATCACACTGAAGGGAAAATAAATCATTAACAAAAAATGATTAATTCAATCGAATTGGTTTGACATGTAAAACTTTTTTTTTAATGCTTAAATTTTCACCAAATGTTTGACGGGTACAGACAAACTGGGACATTCAGTCATGTAAATAACGGCTAGGTACGGTACAGACAAACAGGGACATTCAGCCTAAGACAAAATAGCTCAAAAATCAATTATGAGGTGAATGTAAATTATTAATATTGTTATCACAAAATAGAAGTAACATAATTTTTCTGTGTCTTAAACTTAAAGTATTTGATTATGAAAGTATGGATTTACTCATATTTTTAAATATGTAGATTTTTAGGCATAATTAAAGAAAGCAAGCAATCAAACATGTTTGTTATTAAAAGTTGACCCCGTGATTTGAGTGCAACATGTTATTATTTCCATACAAACTCTTAATGGAAGTAAAAATTCGATCTCCATTCGACTATACCAATCACTTATTTGTCAATAATATGAAAACATTTACTTACCAATCCTGTACCTTCACGTCGTGACTCGTCTCCACTTACACACTAAAAGCAATTATATTAAATAATTTTTTTTACTTCATTTTTACGCCCCCCTCTCAGAGTGTCCCGACAAGATCCCAGCTAGATATGACAACCCTACACATGCACGATGCAAAAGCAAAACTAATCACAATGTCGTGATTCTTGACAAATAAGAGTACACAGATTTTACCCCTTCGGTCAGCCTCTTTGAACTTGAGACACGTGGTGTGAGGGATTTGCGCATCTCATCAAATATTGATATGTCTTGCTTTAACTACGACGTGGAAACTAAGAAAAATATTTTTTTTAAAAATTGAAAATGAAATCCCGGGATTATAGAAAATCCCGGTTTTCATAAATCCAATCCCGTTTTTTTCAAACATCAATTATGGTCCGGTATTCCGGTATTTTCAAAAGTCGGGATAAAAGTTTTAAAAAGGACAAAATGATTTAGAAATTTTAGTTAAGTACAAAAGAAATTAGGATAATCGAGAGAATATACGATAGTGCAGGGGTGATGATATTTAGTTGAAGATAAAGTGAAAGTGAGGAAAGAAGGGATTGGTGGTACTTCCAGCTCCTTCTACTTCCATGGGCCCACGTTCTGGAACCAGCTCCCCTTCCATATCCGTCATTGTGAAACCTCGTCCACTTTTAAAAAGTCCCTTAAAACCCATCTGTTTAGGTCCGCCTATGACCTGTGATGCACCCTCCTTGCCCTGCCTCATTTTCTGTCTCGGGTTGATCCTGTAATATAGGCCAAAACGTGCCAAAGTGTCCTCGTTTTATAGCCATTTTAATTGTCTCTATAGTATAGTAATTACTATCCTAATGTCTTATTTTTATTTTACTTAGTTTACATGTTTTTAATAATTGTAAAGCGCTTAGAGCTTTAAGGTAAGCGCTATATAAAAATGCCTAAATAAATAAATAAACAATGAAATTTGCTCTTTTCTGTTGTTTTGTTTTTAGTAAAACAATACATTACTTTGTTATGAATTTTATCTTCTAAAAAGGGTCCTTAGCCTGTGATTTACTGACCCCTTGGGCATCCATAATAAGGTGCCAGGGG